ATTACGTTGATAATTTGACAAGTTAATATTTTTAATCTCGTACTGTCTAACGGTCTATTAAATAGTGGATATAAAATCTACTCTGACTCAAATAAAAAAATTGCTTTTCTATCTATGAATTGTTAATTTTTAAAATTCTAAGATACAAAAAAAATATCTTAGATTTTGAAGGTTAAGAAGAAAAGTAAAATGTGAGAAAAAATATTTTTAAAAATATGAAAATATATGGAATATTTAATTTTTGAAATTGATTTCAAAAAAATTAAATTTTACAAAAGTTAACATTGCTTGGCTACATTTGTTTTTTTATGATCTTTTCTTCTTTTGGGAAAGGATCTAAATATCTACAAAGAAATATTTAAAAATTATTCATAATGCATTAAAAAAAATATATCATCGAAAATTTAAATAAATAAAAAAAACTTTCAAAATTGGCCATAAAAATGTATTGGGAATATCATCATTTGATATGATCTTTAAAAAAAATAAAAAATATTCTATATTTTCATGTTTTCAAAATTTTTTTTTTTTAAAACTCACATGCTTTTCTCATTAACCTTCAATATTTGGAAAATTATTCTGTCAAATCTTGTACTGTTATGCAACTGTTTACATGGAAACACGATTGAATGTTAATGATCCAATGAATACGATCGTACTAAATCACTATAGAAAATAAAAGTATCAAATTACAAGTTAATATAAAATGATATTATGATATGATTATCGTCTTGAATATGAATATTACGTTTTATATATGAAGCTTTTTAGTCATATTAAATGGTATGATGATAGTTTTATTATTTTTTTTTTTATTCAATTTCAATTTAGTGCATAAAAATATTTAATTTTTGCTTCAATTTTAAAGAGGACAGTTAAATACAATGAAAATAGCAAAATAACATGAGAAAAATAATCATACAAGTGGAAATACTGAATTAATGTTAAATAACAATTTTATTCGTATTTAACCTTCGTAATAACCTAATAGTAATCTGATATTAAATACAACTGTATCTTATGTTCTTTTTGTTATAATTACTAAATGTAATATGTAAGTTCATTATCACACGATAATAAATATATTATATTATAATCAAAAATTTAAAAAGGTTATATTTTTAGAATGATCTTCATGTACATACTGATTACATTATGCATAAGTTTTGGGACTTTCTACCTTTATCTCTTATTCAGATCAAGACGCCCGACTTGATGTCTCTATTTCTTCTATACAATCCGAAAGAAAAATAGTTAATTTATAACAATCCCCTAAATTTTTACAATTCTGAATCACGAATGAATATGTAATAGATAATAAAGAAAATATAATAAGTAATATAATATAATAATGTTTAATTAATTAAATCTGTAACTTCGATATTTACGAAGGTTAAAAATATTTAAAGCAATTATTATCAATATATTATTATTAATCCATTCGAGATATCATTAAAAATTTATTTTTAATTTTTAATATCGTATTTTTTAAAGTTTTAGACATATTGGAGTTAAAGATAATTATTTAAAATATAGGTTATCAATTATTACATATAATTGCCACTTGAGACAATCATTAAAAATTATTATAAATATTTTTAACCTTGCATATATGTACTTCCAAAAGTTTTAGAAATACGTAAGATACCATTATATCATTGATCCATGAAAAATTATTATTAAATTTTCCATCTATCCAAAATAAACTTCAATCACAGATCGATTAAACTAACTTTCCAGAAAAATCTGCAAAATAGGCTTCTCTTCATCTTCATCGTACAATCCAACTTTCTCGTTTTCTCTCGAAGAAAAATTTGATTCGCAACGAGCGACAAGAATAATGGTAGTTTCTATACACGTGAAAAAAGAGATTCGAAGAACAGACGAGAAAGGAACCGAACTGACAAAAACAGGGTAATAAATGGATGTGATGAATAATAACTTGGTTATTGAAAGAAAATTCCGGCCGATACGAGTTCTGAAACTCCGAAACATTAGCCCAGTTTCCACGAGCAACGGGGCTAAGGTATCGAAAACCCCTCCCCACCCTCCTATCTTCTTCTCTCCCTTTCGCCTTTCGTCTTCCAAGTTCTCTCGGTGTACGCTTTGGCTGCTGCTACCGATGAGCCAATGTCCCAACCTACCAACCTTCGTACTTGCCTTCAAGCCACGTCCGCATAATGGCTATTCAGATAGCGAATCGATTTATTTCCCCAGAGGGTTTCGGATACTTGGAACCTTTCTCTTTCTCTCTCTCTCTCTCTCTCTCCTTCTCATTCTCCGTGAACTTGGAACAAATCCTCCTCCATTCTCGTGCTCCAAAAATTCTTTTCTATCGTAAAATGTTTTTCCGCGGAAACCGAATTCGACGCTATCTCTTTATTTCGAGCGAAAAGGGATCGCGAGACGTATATAGAAATTTTTATCAAACTGAATGTAAGAAAAAGGAAAAATGTGTGATCTTCGTCTTTTTAATGTTCATCGTAGCATTGCCTGGTAAAACATAGGAGGATAAAAAGAGACGTGGCTCGTATTGCCTTATAATGGTACTGTATACGTTAAAAATACGGATATAATGGATACTTTTTTGACGACTATGAATAAAATATCGTTTTAAGTAATTTACGTGAGTTTACGTAAATTTGAATTTCTGAAAAATGTAAATTTTTCTCAAGTTTTTGCAAAGTGGTAATAACGCATTTGAACAAGTCGTTTTTAACGTTTTTAACGTTAGTCTAATTTCTTTTTAAAAAAGAGTTGAGAATTATTATTTTTTTTTTTTAACTTTTTAGAAGATTGTTGTAGTAAAAATAATAACGAAGCGAAAGTTATTACAATAATGCATTTTAAACTTTATATCAAAATGGGATAATCTTTCTTTACTAAAAGAGAGAGATTTAAAAAAAGAGATTTAAAAATAATCCCAAAGTTCTTTCTTATTTTTGTCTCTTTATATTATAATGCTTTTATTATTAGAATGTTTCTATTGAGTTTTATAAAAATTGTCAATTTTATTTTATGAAAATATGATATCTAAAGATTAATTTTTTCTATTTAAACTAATACATGTAAGAAAATTGCTGAAAATATGTATTTCTCACAATTATCGAATGACATCAAGAAAATATATATCTATCGTTTTTCGAGAACTCCATCTTGATATCATTGCGATACAATATTATTCATGTGGATATTAAGAATCGGAATTCAGTATTTGAGTTGAGAATGATAAATATTGAGTTGAGGAAATACAAAAGAAAAAAAAAAAAATAACACAAATGCAAGCAGTTTCAAGAATTAGTAGGGATTACTCCGCCATTAAATAAACTTATCGACAGTGCATCGCGTATATTTCTTCTTTTACAGAATTATCATAGAATTGCAAACTGGAGAGAACAATGACAATTTTTATTTTTGTAATACATTTTCCTATATAAATAAATAAAAATAAAAATAGATTTACTTTAAAGATTTTATTATGACATCATATCTTTTTTATTTAACTAAAAATATGAAAATGCATAAAATTATTTCTAGTTTTTTTAATATATAGAATGTCTGTTTTATCTAAATAATTTAAAGAGAGAATGTTATGAAAAAAATATTACAAAAATTATTTAATATAAGAAGATGTATTATGCAGTATTAATAGTTTAATAATTTTTCTATAGATTTTTTATTTTTATGTACATCTTAAATAATAATAATATATTAATTATTTATATTTTAAATAAAATGCAATTGCCAATATATAAGATATTAATATATTCATGAAATATTTTTCATCCTAGAGATCAAAACAAACACGAAAATTGACATACAAAAATGTCACTTGAGGTTTGTTCATTAGGTTATAGACAATCGAAGTTTGTATTGAATCAAACGGAGATGTGGCAGAGATAAAGTCATTCTATCTCCGTTTCGCTTCATTTAACACAACTCAAAAGCCTATAATAACTTAATAGAAGATTCAATCGATTTTATGTGTTTGTGTTTATTCTAACCCTTCAAAGATACACCCCACGAATATCAACACCTCACATAATCCTGGCTTATGACAACGTTACTCATCAGTGCTGCCCCCAGTTTACGATCCTTAAATACATTCGACTGCCATTGTCGACTTAACACGTGATGCGCCATTCATCGACAATATTTCGACAGTATAACGATAAGAATTACACGCTCATAAAATATCAATGTCGTTCTTATATAAATTATACTTAAAGACACGTAATTAATATCATATTACGCATATACTCTGCGATATCAGAGTTTATCATTGTTGATTTATCTATAAAATTAGAAATTAGATTGTTCCTAATATTTTCTTGCATTTCATTGTATGCCGCTAGGAGCCGTTGATGAGATATTTTGCATTTCCTATATATTCTAGGTTATACACCTACCTATAACAGCTACCATTTAAAGTTTTTAAGTAATTTATGATATGAATTAATTTTATAAACCGTTTAAGCATGAATGAATATATAATAATGAAAATATAGATATTTGTTAAGGATAATTATAACTTTCAAAATTTAAAATAATACTAAAATTATAATAACTATAAAAAAAATGAAAAAGTTTAAAAAGAACAATTTTCAAATTGAGAATTTTTCAAGTAATACTAATAATGATTTTAATTCTAATGACGATAAAACTTCAACATAGTAAGATTATAATGAGCAAAAAAAAAAGGAAAATATTATAAATGATTCTGAGCCAAAGATAATTAACCATTCCGTAAATACTCTACTTGATAGATTGACATTAAATTGTGATAACAAGACTTTCAACTGAATTTAAAAGATTTTGAAAATGGGATTGTTCTTACAATTACCAATATATTATGATCAAATAGACAAAGTCACTCTAAAATCTTTAAAATCAAAACTGGCCAGTGTTAAACATCAATGAACAATATCACAATAAAATGTCTGATCCCCTAAAGCGTGTTAAATGGAAGAAATGATAGAAGCAAAGAAATTCCCTCTCACCTTGTTCGGGTATCCGTTGTATCGGAGAAGTTTCTTGCAGCATTTGCCGCGATTTTCGTAATAAAACATCTGGACCATATCTGCGCGATCGGTCGCCGCGCTGACGGTGAACGGTGCACCGTCCGTTCCTAAACTCCTCGAGGAGGAGGCCGACTGCTGTTGGGCCGGTGATTCCCGGCGGCCGATCGGCACGCACGGGCACCACCCCGAGACCATCACACCGATCGACCCGGATCCACCCCGATCCACGTCCCCTTCCTTCGCCAATTCCTCCTTCTATCGCGGAACGTTGCTTCTCATCTTTCTCCCTCCTCCCCTTCTTCTCCTTTCGATCCCCTTTTCCCTCCAATCCTTCTCCCTTCTCCAAACCGTGCCCTCTCGCTTCTTCTTTTCCACCTTCCTTCTTCTTAATTATTCCACCGTTTCTCTTCGTTAGCCTCCTCGCAGGTACTTCTCCCGCTTTACAGATAATTTTCCACAGTTCTTTGGTACTTTTTTTTTTTCTTCCCCTCTTACTTCGATAAATACTTTAAGAAGAAAAACTTCGTTGACGTTGACGCAATTTCCTCGCCTTTGTGCTCGTTATTCCCACCTTCGAAGTTAGATTTGCTGCTCCACGTCGTTTTCCTTCGCTGTGTAGTTGACGCCTCCAACGTTGTCGTCGTAACGTTCGAGTTTTGTTGCTTCTATCAAAATTATCGATCCTTGGCACCTTTCTACCTAAACAAAAATTGGTTTTTACAAAAGTTTGTACGAGGAATCGATCTTTTAAAATTGCATCGGCACATATACCCGTCGTTACGGAAATTATTACACAGCGGGAATATTGCCAGGTATAAATATTAAAACATTTAATCGAAATATCTTTGAATTGTTTCCAATCTTCGTGAGAAATAATTGTGCGATAAATTTTGAATTCTTTATTTTCTCGTTTCTAAAGTCCCTCAAAAATTATTTTACACTAGAAAGTTATAATAAAAATAAAGATAATTTTTTCTAAAGAAAATTTTCAAACAATCTTAAATGTTTAAAAAAATCTTTTAAGCAATTAAAACTACCATGAATTGAAATCTTTGTAATATTCTTCTTAAACGTATAATTTTTTTTTCTTACATTATTCCGTGCTTTGTGTAAAGCACGTTATAGACGTTTTAAATATTTTATCGATTTCAATGTCGATGACACGCTTCTCATTCAATAGAAGCATGAAGAAAAAAAACGGAAAAAAAATTATATAACTTTTAAAAAGTTTATCGTTTTAAAAAAGAATTTCAATTTTCAAATTCATAATAATTTTAATCGAATAAAAAATTTTGTTAACATTTGAGAATCGTTTGAATTTTTTCAATTGTTTTTTTTTTTAAAAACGATCTTTTTACTTATTTTCCAGCATAAATTGATTTTTAAATTGAAAAAAACTTAATTTAGAAAAATAAAAGATTTAAATGAAATGATTGACTTTAAAGATTGACTTTTTTTCATAGCAGATCAAAGATTCATAACGATTATGATAATATTTTTCTTACATGTATATATAATTATATTGTGAAAAATTTCTTAAATTATATATTCAATATACATTTCGCAATAATATACAGTGAAACATCAATTATTCAAACTTCGATTATTCAATGTCTATTATCGAATTAATATTGTCGATATATAATAAACTTTTAATATACAAAAAAATATCTACATGTATATTTAAAAAATATTATAACATATCAAACATAACATTTTTTAAAAAATGAATATTTTACGTATTGCACACTATATTTTAAATTAGAACAATCAATAATCAATAATTTTAGATTTAATTCCTATAATTATAAATTGTACACGTGTATGCATGTTTATCCATGCTGCTCGATTATGCGAACAATTCAATTTTCCGAATCATTTGAAACATGATTTGGATAATTGATGCTTTATTATAATTTAATATAATAAGAATAAAAGGAAATATATCAATATAATATAGAAGAAAAAGTAGCATATATTGTAATAAACATAAAGCTTATATAAGTATATATATATATATATATATATATATATAAATAATATATTATATATATATATATATATATATATAA